TGGTGGTGGGCTGGCACCGCACGTGGTGCGCCCGGCGCCCTATAATGGTGGGCGGGCGCGATATGGTGGCCCGGGCAGCGACCGTCCCGCTGCCCGCCGCGGTCCGGTCAAGAGTCGCCCCTATTGTGGGGGTGCCACTACCGCGCACTGCTGCGCTACCAGGGGTCTTTCAGCGAGCTCCAAACGTTTGTCGACGACTACTTGCAGATCAAAGACGTCTGAATTGCACTCTATGGTGGGTACTCTCCGCCCCGCCCCACCACCACCACACCCGCTGACGGTCGCAATGGATACGGAGGACAAGGCAGCATAAACACGCCCAGGCGTTTACAGACATAATAATTACCCGGGCTGCACGGACACCGCCCCGCCCCGCCACGCCTCGCCACGCCTGTCCCGGGTGTTCCCAGGGCGGCGCTTTGTCCCCTGCCCCCTCCCTTACACTGAAAGCAGCCGCGGGCGTTGGGCGAAGGCAAAAGAATTGAGACAGAAAGTTTCTTTCTGAAAAAAATAAAAAGAGGGAAAAAAATCAAGAGCTTTAACCCGCGCGATTCGCCGCTAGCCGTGGCCGTGGTGGGTCGGGGTGCTGGTGCGGCCGCTGCGGCGCCGAGTGAGGCTGAGTGTTCGGCTCTGTCCGTCTCGCCGAGTAAAGAAAATCAAATGGGCGAGCGGGCGGGCGGCTCTGTTGCCTCGCGCACCGCACAGCCACATTGCACTTTTTACGGCAACCCGTAAAAACCACAAACGAAAGTAGGATACGCCATTAACCTTAATTTCGGGAGCCATCTTCCCCCCGCGCTGCCGGCGATGCTGGCGAAGGCCAAAGCGTCATCCACACGCACCGAAATGCCGGCCAGACGCACACCGATGTAAGGACGCACCCAAGAAAAGAAAGCCTGAGGCAGGTTGCGTATACTAGTATAGTTCAACTAAAGTGACGAGGAAAAGGTACTTCGCCCTTTAGTAAATGACGGAGTTTGTGTACCCCGCGTGAAGTGAGCAACTGCTCGATGCTCTCCGGGGCGCGTGAGCTCGCGGGCGGTAAAGTTGGAAGTGTATGTGATGGAGGCGAGTGAGGGAGGAGTGGGAGGAAGGTGCAAGTTTTCGCACCGCACTGGAAAGCGCCGCAGCGCACCACTTTTCATCAGAGATTTGCTTGTTTCGTAAACTTTATTTTAAGAGGCTTGCTTGCCGGTTCTTCCTCCTCCTGCTCCCCCAACACGCCCAAACCCCGTCCGTCTTTGAAACAGAAACTGTGGTACGATGGAAGAATATTCCTCCGAAAATAAACAATAGAGATCTATTGTGGTTTTACTGGTGGGGCGTGGAGTGGGTGGTTTTATACGCAATATTTCGCCTTTGGGTCGTTTCTTTTTGTCGATGCAGAATTAGATTAGTAGTGGAAAGCAATATTTTTTCAAACGGAAAGTCGTGGATGGAGGCGCACTTTTAAAAAACGAAGGGAAAAATCAGCTGAAACAGATTTGGCGAGCGCAATTAGCTGTGATGAAGATATGATATAGGAGTAATCTTGTTCTCCTGAAACACCCCGAAACACCCCTTCGTTGCCGTTTACGTGTCCCGATGGCGGGGCCGGGGGGCCCATAGGTATGGGAGCCACTTACCGCTATTCCTATACACGAGGCAGTTTGATTACAGCAGCACCAGCATGCGCGTTCCTTTAAATCATTCAAAGCGTTTCAGCCCCGGCGCACGACGGCGACGGCTGCTGGTGTGGCGGGGAGTGGCGGGGCGCGGCGGGGCGAGGCGCGGCGGGGAGTGGCGGGGCGTGGCGGGGCGCAGCGACCCTCCCCCAACATAACTCACCTCCCAGACCCCGCCTCTGCTTGCTCGCAGGGAAGTTCATTAAGTGACGGAGACGTCAGCAGAAATTGGGAAAACGCTATAACTAATCGCTGGAAGCCAGGCTGCTTCACGGCTGCAAAAGGCAGGCCTAGCCATCGCTGCAAGCCGTCTGCCGAGCTGAGGGCGTTTTTCGCTGAGTTTGATCAGATTTAGGGTCGCCGCTGTCGCCGCGTGCCCACTATGTTTCAAAGTACTCTGGACTGGCACAAGCGAGAAAGAAAGCAGAGGAAAATGATAATCCGCCGACATAAGGTAATAAAAAGCGCAGAGTTCAGCGTACCGCGCGCGCCGCCCACACCCGCCGGCGCGCGGGCGAGCAAATTGAAAAACATGTGACTCCGGCCTGGGGGGCGCTGACTAGCGCTGCCAAGGTAGTCAATACACGCGGCCAACTGGCGGCCGGCCAACATGCAGGCCTGCCCGGCCCGGCCCGGCCCAGGCCCGGCCCGCCGCCGTCCAGTTGGGCTGACCTGGCAAACACCAGCGCACAGCCGCACAGTGACCTGCACTCCATCATTCACGCAGCGCAACCCCCTCACCGCTGTTTCCGCGAATGTATGAATGAACGAGTAAGCAAAGCATGAATGAGGGATTTTTTTTTTAAAGGGTCTGGGTCTGTGCGCTAAAAATGTATGCGGGCCTTCTGAGGGATAATCCGTAAAAATACAAAATGGGCGCAACAAAGGTTGCCTGACTAGGAGAATAAAAATGAATTTGAACACTTGGTGAAGGGAATATCGACACGAGTTCACTGGAAAAACGAAGTATGGCAAAGCCTTTCCATATAGCCCCCATTCCAAATCAATACATACTTAAAAACGCATTAAAACTTTCCAAAGGCACCCTGTTAAAATCCTGCGAAGTAATGCTTTGCAATTGCGAAGAAAAATGCTTCGTAGTTACAAAGAATCAAAATCCTTCACAATTAACAAACAACTTTTTATAGCGACAAATTTGCATTTGATTGAAATATTCTTAAGGACGCACAAATTGTTCTTTTCCATTTAGAGTATGTACGCGGGCGCGGGCGGGCCACTTGTCATAATCCACGATCACTAATCTGATCCGGCCGCGGCTCCGGCCAGCGCACCCAGACATTGTCGAGCGGGGCGGCCGGCGGCCGTTGGTGGTGGTGCGACTTTACAACCGGAGAATAAAAGGGGATTACCACCACACTAGGTCTCTTTTACGACTAGGCGCGATATCTCATGAGGCGAGAGGCTTGGAGGGAGGGGGAAGGGGAAGGGGGAGGGGGCGAGAGGGGGAAGCAGGAGGAAGGGCGGAGGGGCTGAAAAGGAAGTCGGTAAAGGGGAAGAGAAGAGAGAGACGACAGAGAGTGACAGAGGGTTGGGGGTGGATGCCGAGTGATGAGGCGTCATGCAGATCGTGTGTGCAGCTGCTGCGCGATGAGGTGAACACTCTAGATAGTCGGCCAGGGACGGGACGGGACGGGGCGATTTGAGTGTGCCAGGAGACAAGGCGCTTGACAGACAAGACGAGACGTTGTCGCATGCAAGTCGGCCAGGGGGAAAGGAAAAGGGAGGAGGGGGGCTGGTGACGCACCTCAAGCACAGGCAAAAACACTGCTGGGTCCATTTGAGCTCAAAGTAAAGGGGGCTTCATTGCGCATTACACATATTTTCAGAAAACATAATAATATACACGCTAAAAAAATATATGTTTTGTTGATGTGTGCACGCACCTTTGAACGTGAGGTTCCGGATGTACTCGAGCAGCTCGACGCCGGGCGGCGCGGGCTGCACGTGCTTGCACAGGTGGAAGGGCAGGCCGCAGCGGGCCACCACCAGCTCGTGCACGGCGCGCGCCATGGCGTACACCGCGTCAACTGCAACAGGAACTCGTGTCGGTGAGCAAACGTCATGAGCCGGCATCATACAGCTCAGTGTGTGAGCGCGCAGTGTAGAGTGGGCGAGTCATTATTTCCGCTGTTTCGCTCGCAGCGGACAGCTTTGAGTCCGATTACGAAATGTGCGCGGCTTTTATCTATCCCCCTTGTTGCTTTCAGCGCCGTTTATAAACATGAACCCCGGGATTAAATGCTATACATGTCTGGAGGCGGAAGGGAACACTGCGCCTGCTGCAGAAGGGGTCCGCTTCCCGCGCGAAGTCTGCGGCGGGCAGCAGCAGCAGTAACAATCTCATTTTACTGCATTTAACAAAGAAATTAGAGCCTCGTTACGCTATGCTCAACTGCTGTTGTAGCGTATACGTCTCCGGCAAGCTTTTCGTGAAAATTTTTCATTGGCCGTAAGCGATCTTCTAGAGTTTTTAACACTCCGCCCGTCCGTCCCCACAGCCGGAATGATGGACGCAAGTGGAGCATAACAACACGGCCTAGCTCCCCTCGCCGCACGCATCCTCCTGCAGACGACACCGGCGTCCTGCTCGGAGGCAGACTGTCGATGCCGACAACAACAACAACTAATTCTCCACGCGCAGGTGTCGTCATGATGGATGGCGACGACGTGGCGCGCACCATCGCTCACCGCGACACGCGCGTGTCTCTTACTCTCTGTCTCTGTCTTACTCTCACTCAGACCTCTCTATCTCTCTCTCCCTCTCTCTCTTTCACTCACTCAAAGCCCCCCCCCGCTCTCTCTCTCTCTCTCTTCTCTCTCTTCTCTCTCTTCTCTCTCTTCTCTCCTCTCTCTTCTCTCTCTTCCCTCTCTCACTCTCTCTCTCTCTCTCTCTCTCACACACACACAAACACACACACAGTTAGACTGTACAACAACAGCATGCACTCGTGTGGAGGGAGCGGATTGCATATCGTCGAGTGCAATCAAACTACGGAACTGGGAGGGGTGAATGAATCAGCCACCTGGTATACAGATGGGGACTCGAATGGTGCGCTTACTGCATAGATTCACTTTACAAAGCCCCCCTGGTGCTTGTGCAAACCCCTCTCCTCCCGCCCCACCCCGCGCCTTTCCCCTGCTCGGCTCAGGAGTTCCGCGAGTAGACTATCCATCCCTCTCTCCCC